CGTCGACGCCGGCGGAATTGAGCTTGGAGAGGGTCGGCCGCGGGGGCGTGATAAGCGCCACTCTCCGTAGCGCCCTTTTCCATGAGCCATAATTAACGATTAATTAAAAGTGCCGACGAGCCAGCCCACAAAAGGCAGTGGAAATAAAAAGAGTTTGTTGCAATCACAAGCTTGTACTCACATAAATTATAATGTTGTGATAAAATGGGAAAAGGAAAGGCGGGAATTAAATTATTAAAAAAAAGGAAATGAAAAATACGCGGCAGAGAAAATGATAATAAATTTAATAAGATTAAATGTCTAATAAACATGTTGTAATTGTCATATAATTAATTCTGAACTATATTTTTTAGAGATTTACAGTCATAAAAGGTACAAAAAATCTCTCAAAAATCAGGTTAAGGGGTTATATACAGTTGTACCTCGCAAGAATATGGAATTTTATCGATTTTTTTTTGACACCATAAAAAATATTTATGAAAAATGTTTTACCGACGTTGTTTAGTACATGTTTCTGGGTACCTAATTAAATTTTTTCATAAAAAAATATTACATAACAAAAATGTTATAGCCGAATTCCCGAATCGTCTTTTTTCGATGGTGTCTTGCGGTGGACAGGATTTCTCGAAAACGGTTCATCCGAAATCCAAAATTCAAAAAAGTTTAGTTAGTATATTGTATTGTCTAGTCCGTGAACGAGGGATTTTTAAAAATTTTGATTAAAAAAAAAATGGCTACGTTTTTAACAAAAAATGTACTTTTTCAAGGTATAAGATTTTCGTTTTTTGTTCTTTAAAAAAGGAGTTTTCAAAAAAATGGAAAATCCCTCGTTCACGGACTAGCTAATATCATAATAAATAAGTGGTCAAAATTTGGTGTTGATCGGATTAGTATTTTTTTAGTAATCGTGTCCACCGCAAAGGTAATTTCCCAAAAAAAAGATTCTGAGATAATCGCGTTTAAAGTTTCAAGTTTGTTCAAGTTTTATATGCAGATAGTGCGCTATAAATAGCTACAGCTTCGGTTCTAATGCTCCGATCATTATGCATTTTTGTGAGAGTATTCCCAATAGAATATACTTTAAGAATATGCAATAAAAAAAAAATCGATTTTTTCATATATCACAACTGTATATAACCCCTTAAACCTTTGTTATAGTATCTAAATAAAAATACTCCTTAAACGAATACGAAAAAAACTATACATCACTAAAAACATAAAAATTAAACAGAATTTGTTAAGGCTTTGCCTTCATTTCAACGTTAAAGGCATAAAAATAGACCTCACCTTGAAAACAATTTTCCAAATACTCTAATCCTTTTACTCCTTTTTTTAAACAAAGTCAGGACATGAGCCCTAATGAAAACTAAACTATTTAACCAGAAGTGGTCAACATAATTGGCTCAAAAGAGTTAAGGACGGAGAAACTGTAACGCCCTACCTACGTGGATTGGAATGGTATGCGAGTTGGAATGCCAGCCCGTATCCGTGTCCCTGGCCAGGTAAAGGTGAGGTGTTTGTGCGGCCCAGAGAACAACGCCCACAATAACAACTTGACTCGGGCAACGGCATAATTTATGCTGGCGAAAAATGCCCGATGTTCGAGAAAACCTCGAAGCAAACAGAGACAATCGCAGTCGCAGTCACAATTCAAATGAAAATCCTGCCCATCCTGGCTAACAGCTCATAAATCACAAAGGGTATCCGAGTGTCCGGGATAGAAAGTTGACTGACTGCTTGACTTGGCCAAGGCACTTACCTGCCAAACTGCTAACTGCTAACGTTGGCAATAAAATTCGCCTCAAGGCCGATAGGTTTCCGTTTGCCTTTGTTTTTTGCTGTTCAATGGAAAACGCATTGCGGAAAAAGGATGTGAGCTGATCCTGGTTCTCCTCACCTTGAGGTTTATGACATGTAAATATTTATGGTTGACATGACCTTGTCATGTCAGGAGGCATCCCTGCCCGTATCCTTCGGTTTCGTACTCCTCCTGTCACGCATTTTTTTTATGGTTCCTCCGAAGCAAAACTGTTTCGTCCGCTCTCCAGATAAATCTTTATGAGGCATATAATTTTCCCAAATTTTATTTTTTTCCTCAGTCTGGGCCGTGTGTGTGTGCTGGTTATGTTGCCTTGTTCCGGTATCTCATGGCATGGTCATAAAAAAATTGACTTTCCTAAGCTATGTTTCCCAAGGCAATGGTTAATCCTTGTACTACCTTCCTCGATTTCTGGATTTTATCACGCCCCTCCACTAACAATGCAAATTCCTAATATTTTTTGCGGGTTTTGCGAATTTTCAGATTTTGCATTTTCCTACCTGATGGGTTCGGTTGTGCAATGGCCAGTAGGTGGATTAGGTTATGCAAATTATGGGTACTTGTTCACTTTTAAAAGGCAATATCCTTTTATTTATATAAATAAATAAATAAGTTGATTTTAATAGAGTCTTGTATAGGGTGGGGTAGGTCCTTCAAAAGGACCTTTCTATGTAATAATTTTTAATGAAAACACCATATTGTTGAATATTTGAATTCTATTTCCCCCATTTTCCTATAACAACCACACATCCATCAACACCATCATGGTATGGAAAAGAAAATGCCAGACACCTGAAGAAAACCAGTTGAATGAAAAACTCCCACGCTCCCACTTCACTTCTTTAACACTCTCTTCCCAGCTCTTTCTCCTTTTCTCTGCGAGAGTTCTCACTGTCTCTGCATTCACTTTGGAACACTTCAGTCTCGAGACTCGAGTGAACCCCAGGCAGAGGGACCTGTACAGTGCACACCGCTGTGATCGCGGCATGTGCCAAAGGCGTCCACGCCGGGTTACGGTTTGGATTTGATTTTTCCTCGGGCTTTCATGACACGGAATCTTGGCCATTTGGCAAGTCAACGCCCACTGTTTACCCATTTTGTTGTGGCCAAAATAATTAAGCACAGTCTTGCCACCTTGCTGGGGATCGTAAGATTGGAGATTTGGAGTTTAAACTAAGAAATCTTACTCCATTCCCCAGCAAGGTTCCCATTGGAGTTTAATTACGGGCAATAAAAACCAATTTGGTTTTTTGCTAATCTAGTAGACAAATAATTTCTAATAATTTTTTTTTTCAAGTAAACCATAGCAGGAAAAAGGAGAAAACATTTTAAAAATTTAAATGAGGTTAAATATATGTAAGTACTCCTTGTTTTTTAGCTTTACTGTATTTTTCTTTGGGAAACCACTTAAGTTTTCAAAACTCAAAACAACTGGTTCTGATACCTTGTTGTTCTTAATTTTTAGATTTTATGTTTGTAATTTTTTTGTTTGCTTTGCCTTTTGATTATTGTTGTTTTAGTTAGTCGTTGTTATTCTGTTAGTATAGAGTTTATTGCATTTTGCGCTTCCATTTTCAAGTGGCTCGAAATGCATTATTTATGGGAGTGGTTCTATGGCAATGTGCTAGAAATCCACTTCAGTCAAACTCCAGCCGACGTCTCCATCTTCATCATCATGGGGCGAAGACTTGGCCCCACCTCAGCCGCCCCTGTCCACCACATTCTTCCCCTTTCTCCATAAAAAAACATAAAGCTTTATATAGCCCAATGTGGAGCAATGGCTTCATTTCGAATGACATTTTGTTGTTGGATGCTCTGCGGGATGGGGGCCTCGCCAGTTTGGTGCAATTTTTTCAAGTTTTATGGTCTTTGCCGATCCCAAATATGGTATTGGGGTCGGTCCTGGCACTTCCATCATTGTCGATTGCCAATTGCCGCGGAGTTGTTTTGACATTTTAATAGCCGAAACGTTTGGCCACTGACATTTAATGTCACAATTAACGCCATGTTTTAATAGCCCCATGATTGGGGTTCTATAATCAGAAGAAACTATTAAGTTTTTTGGTCAAAGTGGTCCAACTTGGAAAGAAAACTTTGATGCTCTTCGAATAATGATTAGGAAAGTGTTTAATTTTTCAGTTTATATTTAAAGATTTATTGAATTGTATCTAAATATTGGCTTATAGACGTCATTGAAAATATTATTTGGTTTGTACTAACACCCTAAACTATCAAATTATGTGTGTTTAAACAAATTTTTTAGTTTTCTGAAACTACGAGCCAAAAGATCACTTCACAGATCGACGAAAAACCCAATTAAAACCACTTAACACTCAACAGAATCCAATCAAATCGAATCGATCCAAAAGTTTGGATTGTTTCGCAGGCTGCTTATTTAAAATTCCATAAATTAGTAAATGAAAAACAAGGGGTCGGCTAATGAAAATGTATGTCTTCATTGCGTAATATAAACAAAGCGGCGAGAAATCTCCGATGTCCGAGAACGGAATGTGCTTAATATCATTAAAATCAATAAAATAAACAACTAATTTGATAAACTGACAGCTGGGGCAGCCACTGTAGTATGTAGTAGCAATGGGGCGAGTGGTCTAAAAATAATGAAAAACATTTCAACCGTAGTGACAATGAAAAATAAACTCAAAGTCGCGGGGCGATGGTCGATGGGAAGAAATGCATCCCGCGTGGCTTCAATTGGTCGCCCGGCGGTCCAATCGGCTTGTGGGCCCCATGCACAGGCGCATGCTGCGAAAACGCCACCCACCACCCACCGGCCAACCACAGTGGGTGTTAATTTCCGAAAAACCAGTTTGGGTTTTTCAAAAGAACGAGCCGGCCATATGGGTGTCTCTATTCCAATTGGATTCCATCCATGTTGTTGGACTCTTCTTGCCTCTGGATAAAAAAGCAGCGGGTCGGCCATTTTCTACAGGCCATCTCGTTCGCTCCAGTGCCGTAAGCCTATCCCACCGAGTGGTGGTTTCCGGAAATACACCACACTAACCGTTATTCACCTCTGGGCTGGAGTATAGCCAGCCTGCTTGCTCTTAGGGGTTCGTGGCTTGGCTTTCGACTTGGCCGCTAGCCATCTTTGTTTCTTACCTGATCACAGCCACGCACAGCTGCGTGCTGCAGCGAGTTAGAATTTCAGGAGCCGCTGCTGGCATTTCAGTCCTGCTGCGCATCTTGAAACGTCAAGTCTTGCTGCGCGCGATTTCGACCGCTAGCGAAACGCTCTAACTTTGTGGCAAAACGCGCGCGAGTGTTACTATCATACAATTATAACTAAAAGCATTTGAAAATAGAAAACGCCAAACATATTGAGATCTAACGAAAAATAAATAAGTTGATAATACGAAAGCCTGGTGACGTGACCTCAGTGTGGAGTGATGGGCTTTCTGGCCTAGTGCAAAGAAAACTGAAAACAAAATATACTTTTTAAGAATTAACTAAAAAAACATAATTATAAACTATTTGTGACCATGATGATGAACGCCTTCATTGAGCCGGCCCAGCACCACCTGGCCAGCTACGGGCTCCGCATGTCGCCCAACACCACCTCCAGCGCCACCAACTCCCAGCAGCAACAGCAGCAGCAACAACTCGACATGACCGCCCAGCAGCAGCAGCAACAACAGCAACAGCAGCAGCAACAACAACAGCAGCAGCAACTGGAGGGCAGTGCGGACTCTGCCGCGGCCACCGCTGCCGCTTATCAAAACTCCGGATACGGGCACTTCAACAGCTATGCCTCCCGGGACTTTCTGCTGGGCAGGCGGGACACCGACTACGGGGTGACCGGCAGTGCCGGACAGGCCTCCTCCGCGGCAGACTCCATGCTCTTCTCCAGCTTTCCCGCCCAGGCGGCGGCCGCCGAGCTGAGCTCCGGCTTCGGGCAGCACCCGTTCCACAGCCATCACCATGCGGCGGCAGCTGCCCACCATCATCAGCACCAGATGCGGATGGGCATGGCAGACGCCTACGCCGGCCATCCGTACAATCACCACACCAACTTTCCGTCGGCGGCCGTCCACCATCCGGCAGTGCACCATCCAGCCCACCATGCCATGTCCGCCATGCATCCGGCCGGACCCGGAGCCTTTCTGCGCTACATGCGTCACCAGCCGGCATCCTCCGCCTCCAGCATCAAGCAGGAGATGCAGTGCCTCTGGATAGATCCCGACCAGCCCGGACTGGTGCAGGCTGGCGGGCGGAAGACCTGCAACAAGGTGTTCCACTCCATGCACGAGATCGTGACCCACCTGACGGTGGAGCACGTCGGTGGGCCGGAGTGCACCACCCACGCCTGCTTCTGGATCGGCTGTTCGCGCAACGGTCGTCCCTTTAAGGCCAAGTACAAGCTGGTCAACCACATCCGCGTCCACACCGGCGAGAAGCCCTTCGCCTGCCCGCATCCTGGCTGCGGCAAGGTGTTTGCCCGCAGCGAGAATCTCAAGATTCACAAGCGAACCCACACCGGTAAGTTAATCAAAACAAATGGGGTTCTGTTATTGAAGAAGGTGTTGAGTAAGAAGTGCTCCCAAGACATTTTAATTTTGGCAACAAGTTTGGTTAGAGTTCTGGATAGAGTTTACTGTCTTGCAAATAATACACTCGGAAAAACATCATATTTCTTCAAACATTCCAAAGGTGTATACAATTTCACCTTGCCGGCGGGTTTAACCCTTGCCCTTTGACGGGTAAATCCCGGACGTAGTCGAGGTGGGCGTGTTTCCGACGGCAAAAGTCGGTGCAACGCCCACTACCTGGCTTAGCCCGGCACTGGACGCTCGAGCCTCCTGTTTATGACACCTGTAAACCCGAAAATCATAACCTTAAGCCCTTCCCTCACCTCCGCAAATCCTCAACAAAGTTGTTGCCCTCACGGCAAGGATAATGCCTTGGACTTCAGCTTGACTTCGACTTTCCGATCCACAATATTTTCCTAAGCCTGTGAACCACTCTTGACTTTAGCTTTTGGTCGAACAGAGATATGATCTGGGTTTGGTGGCATAATTCCTAAAACCTATTGTTAACTTTAACAAAAAAAAAAAAAATACATAGTTCTGTATTAGGTAGACCTTAAATTATTTTAGAAATCTAATGGTCTAGTTTGGTATATTGACCCCTTCAGTCAGCTCTCGCTGTTCTAATGGCACCACTTAAGACCGATCTATATCGCTGGGATCCATAAACACATACTTGGCTGTCCTGCTAAGTTTTACTCACCCACTTATCAAATTCGGCCCACTCCCATCTCCCCAGTGGAACTGCCGAGTGGAAACCAGATCATAAATAACCTTTGCATAATCTAAATCAGGGGCTTAATGTACCATGGCGAGTAACCAGAACAGACCCAACCCAACCGAGTAAATAAAATAAAACTAGAGGAGCGGAATGTGTGCAAAACATCCAGGGCAGAGTGTTACCCCAATTTTGATGGCATTTCGATGGGTTTTGAGAGTGCCAGGTCCGGAGGAGAAGCATTTCCGAGCGATTGCAAACGGAAGTTCTGACACGTGTCAACACATGAGAGTGTGTGTGTGTTTGTTTGGTTATTGGTGTTGGTGTTGGTGTCAATGCAATAAAAACAAACACCAGCAGCCAAGGGACATTTAACCCAAGCAACGATGCTGATTGAATTTTTGATTTATGCCATAAGGGGAAGTGAGAGGGAGTTCAAGTACTCGGTGCTCGGTGCCCGCAAAGGTTAAAGGCCCCGATCGGAACTCTAATGAAGTTGTGCGTCGGCCACTTGAAAGTCAATCAGTATGTTTTCGGGTACCCCCAGCCAATTTGTAGCCCTAGCCAACCAATCATGGCCAGAGAAACAAATCAAAGACCGAAAAACAATCCCATTCTGCCGCATCATCGTGGCGGGAGGAGAAGAAATATGAAATTAGTCAAAAATGATCATCATATTGAACACAACACATAGAGAGAGACCCATAGAGATCATTATAATGCCACATGATTGTTCCAAAATCGAATACAATATGGCGGCGTCTCGGACATCGAAAATCAAAACGAAACATTTTAATTACCTTTCAATGAGTGTGCAAAAGGAAATTTTTCTGTTTGTCCGAACAACAATTTAGAAAAATTGCTTTTTTGTTGTCCAAATCGGCGGCTAATTTTGTGTTTTATGAATTTCTATGAAAGATTTATTTGGTCTGTGGGAGCAGCATTAAGTTCGAAATGCCTTTTCATAATGAAGCACCCCGCCAATAGGAGAAAGATCATATTTTAATTCAATTTATAAAAATATAAAGCCAAATAATCCCCAGTTTCGACCAAAAAAAAAAAAATGATGGGGAAAACTTGTTAAAGCCCACGCGTAAAGCAGAGAGAACAAAGAGGCCAAGAAAAAATATGGAAAGCCAAAATTAAAGCAAAACAAAATGTGTAAAATATGCCCAGCAATATAAAAACGCCATTTTCTGGATATTTCAGAATGTTGTTGGACGGCTCTTGTTGCTGTGGATGCTGGGATGTTGCTTTTGCTTTTCGTGTTGCTGTATTGCTGTTGCTGCTGTCTAGCTTTGCTCTACTCTGTATTCCTTTGTCCTGGCGGACGCAGTTTAATAAACGAAGGATGGTGCCAAACAAGGATAATGCTTCGACCAGAACAGCACCCATAGACCCTGCCATCCATTGATGCTGTGTCGGTGTCGGCATTTTCATTATGGCCCCGTTTATTGTTCTGTATGTTTTTGGGGCTTTATTAAATCGAGTGGCGCAATTTTAAAGCAATTATGCACAATTCTGGCTGTTGGATGTTGGCTGCTGGCTGGCAACTTTGTTATGTGCTTTTGCATTTAATGCTTGTTTTCCATGCGGCTTTCCCTCTGGTTAATTGATTTTAATGGCTGTGTTGTTGGGCGCCTCTAATGAGTCCTACATGCTCAGCCATAAACCTCAATGGAACAAGTTCAACAGCCACAAAAATCAAAGTCATTAATTTGCGTTAAGCTCTCGGGTTCTGCCACATAAAACTTCAACTTCTCATGCCGGCATAGATCATGTCAAGCCTCATACATAAATTGCGCTGTTAAACCCTGAGACAAAACAAATATAAAAATTCCATTTATTTCTGATTAATTTCGGCCAAAGGTGTTGATATTAAGCTCCGCTGATTTATAATCGAGAAAACACTTAAAAAAAAAACATCATAATTGAAAAGAGAAAGGCTTATCATCGGCTTGAGTAATGGTTGGAAATGGATGTTCATAAAATATGAAAGAACAAGTTATACAAATAGTAATACTTTCGAAAGTCCCATTTACAGAGGTTTCAGTCTCCCTTCCGCCAAGTCCAGTTTCCAAGTCCTGCCCAGAACGCATCCTTTATCTCCTAAAAAAAGGCAACCCCAACAATCAGTGATTGTCTGCCCTGTGGTTGTTGTGTTTGCTTCTCTTTTTCTGCTGGGGACCCAGTTGACACCTTGCTGTTTGGATCCGTGTCTGCAAGTCCGGATAGATGGCGTTTGTCATGGTGTGCGGTTTTTGTTCACTCACATACATACATACATACTTTTTTTTGTACACGATTCTTTCTCGTCGGGCTCCCCCTGGACCGGACCACAAACAACTTTATTCATTAACACCTACAACGAAGACCACAGGATCCGACTGCAGCAAGAGCATTCAACACAACTTTGTGGTTAGTTTTTATTCCCTCCATTCACATCCAGTGCAGCAGCAGCAGTAGCACTCCTTTCAAGCTCATTAAGTTGCCACTGGCGCTGCCCCCCAGCACCCGGCCGACCCCCCTTTTTTTCCATCCATTCTAAGTGCAGGCTCTCGTTTTCCCAGGCGCCTTGTTGTTGTGCAATTATGCTGCGGGGCCAAAGTTTAGCATCCAACATTGTCCTGGTGGCAGCGACCCTTGTTTGATTAGCCCCCTCACATTCTGATCCCCGGCTCCGGCTCTGGCTCCAGCTCGGCTCCTGCTCGACTCTCGACTCGATTTAATTGAGTGCAAGTGTTTTTTTAATGAGTCTTTTATGGACTTGTACGCTCTTTGCTCCTTTGATGCTGAAGTGTATTATGCAATTATATACACTTTTATAAGCACTTTTATTAAAAGCGGACTACGGGGACTGAGAACTTTTATTTGTTTTCCCAAATTCAATTGAATAATTACGTGAGGGCTAACCTGTCTTGGAATAATTATAAACAACAAATACGTAATGATTTGCATTGCAATTTGGTTTTGTACGCTCGGCGCCAATGAAATAATTTTTCAAAATACAAAATTCAACAAAACCGAAGCGCTGGCAAATGTCAATGATTGATGACTTTATTGCGGGTTCAACGGTTTTCACAAAAATACACACCAGACCCGGCACAGATACGGATACGAATTCAAATACTGCCAGCAGATACGGATACAGATACACATACTTGTATTCAGGCGAGGGCGAGAGACAGAATCACTTTTTATTTTTGCGCATAAACTGTGTGTTTTGGCTTCCCAGAATTTGACTGTTTGTCAGAACAATGGCCAGAAGAGTGGCCGGAGGAAGCAGCGGGAGGAGGCGAGGCTGCGAGGCGGTGGAAAAAACCTGCGATGTGCTCGAACTGATTACCTTAACTTCACTACCTGGACGGAGGTTTCTGCCAGGATCACCTCCCCGCCTCACTCCCGCTGTCTAACAAACAGAAAATCAATTAGTTACGCTCCCTAGGAGGAGGAGGAGGAGGATGAGGAGGACGAGTAGGGTTATGCCATTCCTAATGACAAATGCATTTCGAGGCCGGAGCTGCCAGCGAGGGAAATTCGTCATTTAATTAGCAGGACCCCCATGCCAAGTCCTGTGGAAGGACCTGCATTCGTTTCGCTCAATTTAAAGTGTCAAATACCGAACATGACACACGATCGCAATCTGCTAAAAACTTTGACAAGCCACAAAGTTGGCCTGCAGATTTATGTGGCAAAAGTAAAAAGTGTATAAATTTCTTTGAATGTAAGCCAAGTTCCACAATTTATTGACTAGACGGGAAATAAAATTAAAGTTTCTTTCGACTTTGAAGAAATTTATGGGGAACTTTGGGAAGAACTTAAAATGGTTTTCAATTACATGAGAGTGAAACAAGTCCTGAGCACCCAAGAATATTTATTCCTTCCCTTATAATCATTATAAAATAGCGCTTGCACCCATTCTAATTAGTGACAACCCCCGATTCTGAGCCCGGTTTATAGAACTCCTAACAAGTTACTAACAATGCCCATCGATCCACCCGTTCCGCTCGTGAACAGAGAGGGGGTTGCTTTGCATTCCTCCCCCTTGGCTCATGCATACTTCCCAAATGTCAAAACAATTCCATATATAAGTAGTACGCATATGTATCTACCTTAACCCCTGCCAGCATATGTGAGAGAAGGAATTATAATTTCATTTACCAAAAACCCAGAGACACCAACAAAAAAAAGCGCGAGCTGTAAACTCGGCAGGGGTTTGTCCTCCCAACCCTTTG